TCTCAGCTCATCCTACCTCAATTATTTAAGGTGATCTATCTTTAGCATCTTCATATCATTAGATAATTAGATCTAAATTCAAATGAAAATCTCACAATGATAAAATATTAGACTTAACTTCATATAAAAAAATTCAAGTATCAATTAAGGCTGGAAAATTTGAGGAATTGGGTCGAAATTAAGATTTATGATTAAATTTTAGGTTTTTTTTTCTGTATTATGATGTTAATTCGAATCACGTTTGATTTTTTATTTTTGGAAATTCTCGAACTAAAATGGGTAAAACTCATTTTTTAGGAGTTTGGCTAAACTTATTTCAAATATCTTATAAGCTCATGCATCTCTGATAAGATGTTTTAGGTGTCGATAAGCTGTTAGATCTTATTTTAAAAATTATTTTGTAAGGTGTTTGGATATGTAGCTTATAAGTTACTTTTAGTTTTTATAAGTAGTTTAGGTGTTTGCAAATATAAGATTTGTTTATCGCCATAATGACAAAAAAGTACATGATGACATTATATAATTTATTATTGAGATAATAAGATTATTCGGGTATTTTCATATGCATATAAAATATAAATGGAAAATATTTTTTTTACAATTATTATGATAATTTTGATAATTATATTTTAACTAATTATTAATCTTGAGTACAAAAATACGTTGTTTTGATAAAATATATATGTTATTAGCATTCATGTGATATAATAAATTATTTGAGGGTAATTTTGTATTTTAGTAGAGAAGCAAATAAGATCTTAAAGAAAAAAAGTGGGTTGTAGGTACTTTTTTAAAAACATCTTATAAACTCCTTAAGAGCTTATTTTTACAAAAAAATAATATCTTTTGTAATAGTTTTACCAAATACCTTTTAACAGCTTATAAGCGCTTAAACATCTTATAAAATATTTTTAGGAGCTTATAAGCTTAGCTAAACAAGATCTAAATTACGGCCACCCCCGAGGTAACGTCAAATTACGAAAAAACTCATAATGTTTGGGTAATTACAATCATCCCCTAACTATAAATCGTCTTACATGCCCATCATTGCGGGAAGATTCTATGTCCACATTGCGGGAAGATTCTGTTGAATTTCACATCATAAGAGTTGACATGTAAGAAAATTTATCGTTGATGGGATGGTTGTAATAATCTAAACATGAAGGTTTTTTTCTTCGTAATTTGACCTTATTTGAAGGGGTTGACATAATTTACTATTTTTTTTAATTCTACCACTAATATAAATATATAATAATATGGACAAAATATACTTCGCCCCCTACAAATTTTCAATTTCACAGTTTCCCCCTTACTAATTAAACAATGAGAAACTCCCCCTTAAAAAAATTATGCTAATTGCACTTTGCCCCAATTGACATTTTTCGGCAATTTTATCACCAGTATTTTTATTACTCCGTTCATTTGAAGGGCATTTTCGTCTGTTCACTTGAACGATTTATCCATTCAATTTAAAGAAACAAAATACGAAAAACATAAATTCAATATAAGTCATCTTCCCACCACCAAAAAACTTTATATCCACGTTGTGCTCCATCGCACCTGCTTCGCCGTCTGCAACCACCCACCACCATAACACCATGACGAACCCATCCCAAAGCTAGATAATCAGCCGCTTACAGTTAGCCAACACTAAATTCAAACAATGCGTCGTCAATCTTTACAAGGATATTAGGTGGTCGAATAGATTGGAGAGATTTATGCGTCGACGATGTATGACTGATCGTCGTCTTCATAGCTGCGGAAGATGTCAATTTTGATGAGGGATAACTGGAAAAATTAATGAGAAAATGCAAAATTTGAGCAACAAAATGATGAGGGTTATGGTGGTGGTTAAAGAAACTAGTGTTGTGAGAAACTTAAAAGTGGGCAGAGTAAGATTTTTTAAGATAATGAAGAGCGGTGGTAGTGGGGGAGGTGGTGGTGCTGTGGGAAGAAGGAAGGGAATTAGAGTTTTCAAGGAAATTTTAAAATTGCAATTTGGTCCTTAGAATTAGATAGATAAATTTAAAATCTAGTGTAATTGAAAAAAAAATGATGCATATATCCCTAGAATGACGCATATATAGTAGAACCTCGATAAATTAATACTCGATAAATTTAATAACTTCGCTTAAATAATAAATCTTTCTGATCCCAACTAGGTGAGAACATCCTAAATTATTAACTCGATAATTTAATATTTCGCTCAATTAATAGAATTTCCATAGTCCCGACTGTATTAATTTATAAAGGTTTAAATGTACACCATAAATGGACGGAGAAATTCGAAATCCGTTAAAAAATACACCGGAGTTCGAATTTTGGGGCAAAATGCAACTATAACAAAATTCGGAATGGGGAGAGTCTCATTTTTCAATTTGTAGGAGGGAAATTGCGAAAACTAGAAATTTCTAGGGGGCGAAGTAGATTTCGTCATAATAATGTTGATATCATAATTAAGATGTAATGAAAATAATGAATTTTAGAAATTATATCCAGTAATTAAAATCAGATTAAGATTTTCAAAAAATTATATAAAAAAATTAATTTCAAGATCAATGATTTTGGGATTTGCTTTTTACCGTTTGAAAATTGCTATTTACCGTTCAAAGACTCTCTCTCTCTCTCTAAAAAAATTCGCTCTCAAGACGATTTCATCACAAATCATACTTATTGGTGTGATATACGAACATAAATGAGTTCATCGGATGAAGATCTGGATAGCGGACACAACGAGGTAAAAATTCCGTCTTTTCGATCGAAAAAAATGGGCTAAACGTTTAAAAAGCCCAACTCGGGCGCCCGAAGGTGCAGTGCACGCCCATGTTGGGCGTGCAGTTGGCTCTTGCACGCCCATTACGGGCGTTTGTAGGCTAACTGCACGGTCGGGCGCCCGAGTTGGGCTTTTGGCTTTGAAACGTTTTTTTTTTTTTTTTTTTTAAATCAATTTTTTTACGTTTTTTTCAGGACGATACGTCTACAATTGAAGTTGATCATACCGATTATTTTACCACTAGTCAGTTGTTTGACTCGAAGGATGATGTAGTGGTTTGGGCGAGGTTCGTTGCAAGAGGTCTTTTTGTGAAAATAGTAAAAAAAAGTTGTCCTAAAAAAAAAGATATTTCTGACTTGTGACCTATACGGGGAGAAACGAGAATGTCCATCAACTAACCCAGACGCGCGCCCGAGAAGGACCGGTAGCAAAAAAATAAACCGTGGTTTTCAAATTGTCGGAGAGCTACGGTGGGATGATAGATGGGAGGTCAGAGTAGTATACGGGAAGCATAATCATTTTCCGATATACATGTCCGGGCATGGGATGAGTGCATTGTCTCAAGAGGAGGCGAAGATTATTAGTGATCTGTCACAAAGTCATGTGCCGCCCAAGAAGATTTTGGCCAACTTGAGACAAAATGGTTTGGGTCTCGATGCTTATTCGAAACAAGTATACAATGAGAAGGCGAAATTGAAAAGACTATCTAGGGGTGACCGTACAGTGATGCAACATTTGATTGGGTTACTTGAGGAGCATAACTATTACAAGTGGTTCCGTACTGATGAAACAACACATGCAGTTATTGATTTGATGTGGGCTCACCCTCAATCTGTCGAATTGTTAAGTAAGTTTCCGTACGTTATACTACTTGACAGTACTTACAAAACCAATCAGTACAAATTGCCTTTGTTGGAGATTGTTGGTGTTACTCCTGTCGGGAAAAATTTTACTGTTGCAGTCGCATTTTTGCGCCATGAAAATGAAGACCATTACACATGGGTTTTGCAAAAGCTGAAGAGACTTTTCCCCCCTCAGACTCTACCTAGTGCCATCGTGACTGATCGAGAGTTAGGTCTCATAAAGGGGCTAGAGAATGTATTTCCGACCGTACCTCATCTTTTATGTCTTTGGCACATTAACATGAATGTGGGGCGTCGTGCTTCAAGATGTCTCGGCAATAGTAGGCGTCGTGGCACGGCTTTTGTACTTGGTACGTGGCAAACTTTGGTAAAATCAGTGTCTGAAGAAGATTTCGCCAGGAATTACACAACTTTGATGGTCGAGTACGCGAATTATCCAGAGTTGATTGAGTATCTTCAAGGCACTTGGCTCGTATACAAAGAGAAATTTGTAAAAGCATGGACGGATCTAATTTTTCATTTGGGTAATACATCGACAAGCAGGTATTTATTTATAAGTGGTTAAATATATATACTTAACTTACTGTCATGTTGTTTATTGAAACATATCATATTTTAAACATATTAGGGTGGAGAGCAACCATAGAGCATTGAAGAGATGGTTGGAATCGTCCACGGGTGGCTTTGACACATTTTGGGCACAATATCACTCACAGATGAAAGATCAATTTAACGAGATACTAGCCGATTTTGCAAAGTCAAAGAGGATTCGGGCCCAGATGATCAACGTGCCCGTATTTAAAATATTGTCCAGTGGAATTGTAACACATAACGCTATGTTCATGTTGGACGATGAGAAGGATGAAGACATAGACGGTTACGTATGTTATATGAGGAAATGTCTTGGCCTCCCGTGCAGACATGAAATTCGTGCAAAGGTGAATGCAGGACGTGGTGTGTTTTACGCAGAGGATGTCCACATTTTTTGGAGGACATTTATTTCGGGCTTCGGGGATTCCCTAGATGAAAGTGTTGGTTCTGTTCCCGACCACAGGTCACAGGCTATTGGCAGGCTAGAAGGGTTAATGAATGAGTTGCGTGAGCGGTCAGAAATTGAGATCACGGACGTGACAGATGTTGTTTTTGAACGAATGCATCCCGCGGCTATGGAAATGAATGAGCCAGCAGTACTAGACCGCCCGAGAGGTAGATTGGGGAATAACTCTACACAGAGGGATCTGTCAGGGCATGAGTTTCCATTATTTCCGGGAGAAGGTGAAGATTCTGGACGAGGACGAGGACGATCACGAGGCAACAGAGGGCGTGGTTCATCTTCTGAGAGATCTAGCCGTGGTCGTGCTCGTTCATCGACCGTGAGTGGACCCGCAATAGGTCAAATTCCCCGACCCCCTTGGATGCGACAACTTCATTTCTGCCTTGTTCCGGAGGTTGTGACGTGGACGGACGTTCAAGGGGATGGTAATTGTGGTTTTCGAAGCGTCGCGTGTGCAGTGAAGAACCACGAGGATGATTGGATGGATGTTAGATTGGATGTTTATAACTGTATTAAGCATGTGCGTGTGGGGGATACTCCACATCTGATCGCCAGGCTCATAGTTAACCTTGTAAGATGCTATTTTTCTCTCCCTCTTAGCACCTTTTAGCGGACGAATTAGGTCCGCCGGTTTAATCTGCCGAAACCCGAACTGACGCAAAACTCTATCGGGCATATAAGGCTCGACCGTATCCATCCATCGAATAGTCCCGTGATGAACCGTCTTTCCAACTTCAGATGCCACTTTCAATCCAAATGGCGTCCAATTCACCTACATTCATTTAATAATACACATATATTAATAAGCATAATTAATATAAAAATATTAATTTAATCTAGATACTTACATCTGACGGACGCATCGAATCGAGACGTCTACGATAATCTACAAGTATATCCTCGTCCTTAGGAATATGATGTATCACCTGCCACCGTTTACACCATGGCTCTCCCGTAACATGTGCGTTAACCATCGGAGGCCGGAAACACGGAAAATACTCATATATCCAACACTACAGTACGGGAAATAATAATACGACATAATTAATAATAACAACAAAAACAACAACAACAACAACAACAACAACAACAACAACAACAACAACAACAACAACAACAACAACAACAACAACAACAACAACAACAACAACAACAACAACAACAGCAACAACAGCAATAATAATAATAATAATAATAATAATAATAATAATAATAATAATAATAATAATAATAATAATAATAATAATAATAATAATAATAATAATAATAATAATAATAATAATAATAATAATAATAATAATAATAATAATAATAATAATAATAATAATAATAATAATAATAATAATAATAATAATAATAATAATAATAATAATAATAATAATAATAATAATAATAATAATAGTGTCAGACATCCAGCAATCTGCGCCGCCTCAGCTCGCGTAGCCATGCCCAACTGTCGGTACAGATAGGCCAATGTAGCCGAACCCCAAGAATACTCGCGAATCAGATTGATTTCCTCTAACAGTGGGAAAAAATATGCTCTGACCTTCAATCCACTCTTATCCACGAACAACAACTTTCCGAGCAAGTATGCAATATATGCTCGTACCCGATACGCGGAAGGAAATGTAGAATTGTCGCCATACTTCACCTCCAAATCATCTAACCGGGGTCCGCCACCATACCACCACTGCTCCATAAGTGCGGGGTCGACCCCGAAAGCTCTCGCACCAAACTGGATCGCGTCGGCCTTATCCATCCAAACGTTAGGGCGAATTCCACTAACTCGCAAACCCATGATGAAATGCACGTCGTGGAGGGTAATTGTCATCTCACCGAATGGCATGTGAAAACTGTTGGTGTCTGGCTGCCACCTCTCAATAAAAGCCTCTATTAGTGGGTTATTGTGCTGAGGCAGCGAACAATCACGCAAGTGATACAAGCCCGTACTCTTCAGTAGTGAGACACAATCATCGTCGTCGGGGCCTGGCCAAGTACACTTCGCGTGCGACCGTAATTTAACCATATGTCGACCCTGTTAAAGATATATTCATATATAAGTATACCACAATCAAGTGTAAATATTATAAACAAAATTTATTAATATTAATAAGTATTACCTTTCCCTCCCAAATGTCGTAGGCAATATGTGCTCCAAAACTCGGAATCAAGTGAGCGTATTTAGGTCCACCGGGTGTCTCACCAGTCAACATCCAAGGTCGAGAAGGAAGTTTTTTTCTCGGAGCGGTGCGGGACCTCGAGACAGGATTTGAACCACCGAAAGTACCACCCATCGGGACAGGAGGCGGAGTCGGAGTCGGAGTCGGAGTCGGAACATGCTCGTAATCGTCATCGGATGGAAAATCCGGCACCGGAAACTGATACTTCTGCTGAAAGCGTAGTTGTGGATCGTACTCGTACTCCTGTGGATGCATATATGCATCCATGGGTGCATCCATCTCCTGTTCGGCCTCTGTTTCTGTCTCCTCCTCAATCATCGTACGTGGGGGTACAAAAGCACCAGTGCGTTCCCCACGACGTTTAGAACTGGTAACATTTCTATTATGTGTCCTTCCCTCCCGTTCCGCAGTAGTCTCCTCCACCGGATCTGCAGGAGGACGAATCAGGGGTCCTTTCCCTTTTCCCAGTCCGAATTTTTTCGCCCAATTAGACATCCTGTAAACATAAAAGTATTATAATTTCATTGAATTAACTAAATTATATTAAATTTACTAACTCATTTTAATTCAGAAAAAAAAATATTTATTTTAAATCAGAAAAAAAAAAAATAAAAATTTAAATCGAACGCCT